GACCAGAGGCACCCGTTTTGCTGCGACGCTAACGCTCCCCGTTAGAGCGTTAGCATTGGTCCGGCATTTGCGGAGCGTTTTTTAACGCTCCGCAATTGCCACATGCGCGGTTCAGCGGCGGTTGCTAGGCATTTGCCGAGCATTAAAAACGCCCCACAAACGCCTATAATGAAGTTTGAATGGTGTTACCGCTCCGCAAACGCCCCGCAACCGCGCCGCAAACACCGGCCGGGCATTTGCGGAGCAGCACCAACGCCTCCTGACTCGACCAGAGGCATCCGTTTTGCCGCAACGCTAATGCTCCCGTTAGAGCGTTAGCGTTGGTCCGGCATTTGCGGAGCGTTTTTTAACGCTCCGCAATTGCCACATGCGCGGTTTCAGCGGCAGTTGCTAGGCGTTTGCCGAGCATTAAAAACGCCCCACGAAACGCCTATAATGAAGTTTGAATGGTGTTACCGCTCCGCAAACGCCCTGCAACTGCGCCGCAAACACCATCCGGGCATTTGCGGAGCGGCACCATAGACTAGAATAGGAGGCTTCAACGCCTCCTGACTCGACCAGAGGCATCCGTTTTGCCACGACGCTAACGCTCCCGTTAGAACAGCACTATGTGCTGCAATGTGCAGAATTGTCGGAGGCGTTTGGGAAGTGGTAAAAACGCTTCCCAAATGCCTTTCTGCCGCCTGCACACATCGCTAGTGTGAACATAGCCTTATGATGGTTTTTCCCATACATATGTACTTTCCGGGAGACACTGTGCTCACCAGGAAAAGGAAAGAGAATAACTCATCAGCAAAAACCTAAAATGGGTTTTCTATTTCCTCATTCTATGCAAAGCTACAAAAAAATATTTTGGGTCTATTTATAAAAAAAATCACAGTGCCATGTTGAAGGTATTGTTTAACGTTGATATCCAGGCGGTTCCTGGGAAAAGCATTTGATTAATCTATACCTGGACTTCTGCAGATCCTCTCCCATCCTCTGGAACTCCCTACCTCAGTATGTCAGGTCAGCATCCCACCCTGTCTGCCTTTAGGCGATCTTTGAAAACTCACTTATTCAGGGAAGCCTACCCCACCTCCCCCTAAGAACTGTACTTGAATCACCTCCACCAGATCATCCCCCGCAGATATCACCTTTTGTATCACCTCCTCCTTCATTTAGATTGTAAGCTCCACGAGCCGAGCCCTCCTATTCCTTCTGTACTGAAATGTATTGTAATTGTACTGTCTCCTTATATTGTAATGCGCTGCTGTTGGTGCTATATAAATCCTGTATAATAATAATAATAATAATCCGTACGGGCATACTAAAGCTGATCACAGATGGATCGTATCTCGGCAACTCCACCAGGGACCGGCCGAGATTCAAATTGTGTATGGGTAGGCTGATTGTACCCAAATCGATCCATCGATCGACTTGGGTACAACCAGTCTGTTGAATTTTTAGTATGAGATTACTGCTGGCAGCTACAGATGCTTGCAGTAATCATTGCATTCTGACATCCGGGAAAGCTCTCCGTGCCCCCCTGCCAGCAGAATACAATAGTGCTGCACAAGGCCACCAATGGTGGAAGGGAAGAAATATCAATTAATGTATGACTTGCCTAAGTGTCAATTTCATTGCTGACCCATTATTATTATTATACAGGATTTATATCGCGCCAACAGTTTTCTCAGCACTGTACAATATAAAGGGAGACAATACATTCAATACAAGAGGGTTAGGAGGGCCCTGATCCTGGGAGCTTACAATCTAAGAAGGAGGGGCTGGTGGTACAAAATGTAATAGCTGTGGGGGATGGACTGGTAGGAGGAGTAGAAGATTCGGTTATTAGCTGAGGGCAGGATAGGCTTCCTTGAAGAGACAGGTTTTCAGAGATCGCCTAAAAGTGAGCAGAGTAGGCGATAGTCTGATAAATTGGGGTATAGAGAGTTCCAGAGGATGGGGAGGCTCTGGAGAAGTCCTGAAGATGAGGATGGGAGGAGGAGACAAGGGAGCTAGAGAGCAGGAGGTCATGGGAGGAGCGGAGAGGATGGTTTGGGTGATATTTGGAGACAAGATTTTTTACACCAACCAAATAAGCAATAGCAAAAGCCTGGCTGTTGGCATCCCTTTCCCTAACAGCTGTGAAGAATAGGGCTCATTGAACTTTCACTAATGGGAAATTGACAGCGAAAGTTAGGGACACATTTGGCGGGGGGAAGATTTGCAAAACTCGGGAGTGCAAAATCTGTTGCAGCTCTGCATAGACACCAATCATCTTCCAGGTTTTATTGCCAAAGCTTAGTTGAACAAGCTGAAGTTAGAAGCTGATTGGCTCCCATGCTGCACCAGAGTGCTCCAGTTTTAGGACATCTCCCCCATTGCATAAGTTTCATAAAACATAGGACTCATGGGTCTCTCACGTCCGACCATCTGATGTCTGATGGACCTATGAGATGCATGTGTTTTGTGGGGTTGATTTGCTAAAGGCAAACAGTCTGTGCACTTTCCAAAGGCAGTTGTTTGCAGAACTTTGTAAAATGAAGCTTAACCTCATTTACTAAGAATATCCAATCACATGCAAGGAAAAAACCCCCCAAAAAACAGCATTTTTGCTTGCACATAATTGAATGATGGAAGTCAGTAGAGCTTCCCCTCATTTACTGAGACCTGAAGCAACTGCCCCTGTACATATCATTAGTAAGACCTCATCTGGAATATGCAGTTCAGTTTTGGGCACCAATTCACAAAAAAGAACATTGGGGAACTGGAAAAAGTACAGAGAAGGGCTACCAAACTGATAAGAGGCATGGAGGAGATCAGCTATGAGGAAAGATTACAGGAACTGAATGTATTCTCTCTTGAGAAGAGGAGATTAAAGGGGGATATGATCTCCATGTATAATACATAAGGGGGGATATGATCTCCATGTATAATACATAAGGGGGGGATATGATCTCCATGTATAATACATAAGGGGGGATATGATCTCCATGTATAATACATAAGGGGGGATATGATCACCATGTATAATACATAAGGGGGGATATGATCTCCATGTATAATACATAAGGGGGGGATATGATCACCATGTGTAATACATAAGGGGGGATATGATCTCCATGTATAATACATAAGGGGGGATATGATCTCCATGTATAATACATAAGGGGGATATGATCACCATGTATAATACATAAGGGGGGATATGATCTCCATGTATAATACATAAGGGGGATATGATCACCATGTATAATACATAAGGGGGGATATGATCACCATGTATAATACATAAGGGGGGATATGATCTCCATGTATAATACATAAGGGGGGATATGATCACCATGTATAATACATAAGGGGGGGATATGATCACCATGTATAATACATAAGGGGGGATATGATCTCTCCATGTATAATACATAAGGGGGGGATATGATCACCATGTATAATACATAAGGGGGGATATGATCTCCATGTATAATACATAAGGGGGGATATGATCACCATGTATAATACATAAGGGGGGACATGATCTCCATGTATAATACATAAGGGGGGACATGATCTCCATGTATAATACATAAGGGGGGGATATGATCACCATGTATAATACATAAGGAGGGATATGATCTCCATGTAAATACATAAGGGGGGGATATGATCACCATGTATAATACATAAGGGGGATATGATCTCCATGTATAATACATAAGGGGGGATATGATCACCATGTATAATACATAAGGGGGGACATGATCTCCATGTATAATACATAAGGGGGGGGACATGATCTCCATGTATAATACATAAGGGGGATATGATCTCCATGTATAATACATAAGGGGGATATGATCTCCATGTATAATACATAAGGGGGGATATGATCTCCATGTATAATACATAAGGGGGGATATGATCTCCATGTATAATACATAAGGGGATATGATCTCCATGTATAATACATAAGGGGGATATGATCTCCATGTATAAATACATAAGGGGGGGATATGATCTCCATGTATAATACATAAGGGGGGATATGATCTCCATGTATAATACATAAGGGGGGATATGATCTCCATGTATAATACATAAGGGGGGATATGATCTCCATGTATAATACATAAGGGGGGGATATGATCACCATGTATAATACATAAGGGGGGATATGATCTCCATGTATAATACATAAGGGGGGATATGATCTCCATGTATAATACATAAGGGGGATATGATCTCCATGTATAATATATAAGGGGGGATATGATCTCCATGTATAATATATAAGGGGGATATGATCACCATGTATAATACATAAGGGGGATATGATCTCCATGTATAATACATAAGGGGGATATGATCTCCATGTATAATACATAAGGGGGATATGATATCCATGTATGATACAGAAGAGGGGATATGATCACCATGTATAATACATAAGGGGGGGATATGATCTCCGTGTATAATACATAAGGGGATATGATCTCCATGTATAATACATAAGGGGGGATATGATCTCCATGTATAATACATAAGGGGGATATGATCACCATGTATAATACATAAGGGGGATATGATCATGATCTCCATGTATAATACATAAGGGGGGGTATGATCTCCATGTATAATACATAAGGGGGGATATGATCTCCATGTATAATACATAAGGGGGGATATGAATCTCCATGTATAATAATAATACATTTAATTCAATAATATAATTAAACCAAAAACACTGAAATTTGAAATATAGCGCCAAGTTCGCACATCGCTGAGCAAAGTCGGGAAAATCGTTGACCAAAAGGGACGCTTTTTGGACGCCATGGACGTTTCTCAGTTTCCAGGCAGAAAGAACAGTAAAAATGCAGGCAGGGCGCCGGACAAAGCACTCGGGACAAAATGTATGTGAAATGGTTTGATACAGGAATGTTATACTATGTAATTTTAGTGAATGTCACTTTTTGTCATTTTCAAATTTCCCGCCAGTTCCGCCCCCCGTATGTCCCGACTTCGCAGGGGACGGAACCCAGATGACAGATGCCGGCATCGGCCGGAGGACATTACAGGGGACACTGCAGGAGGGACATTGTGGGAGCGCAGGACAAGGTAAGTGAAGAAGGGATCCCGGAGCAACGCTGCAGTGTATTCCCGAGTGTAGCTCGGGGTTACCGCTTGTGGTGCTGAAACTTTACCCCGAGCTACACTCGTGAATACCGCCAGGGAGGTTACCATGGACTGCATCACATCCAGTAAAGTATTAAAAACAGTTTTGGAAGAAGGTCCAAACACGTATGCCAGATTCTTTCCAGATTTCCGGCACTGTGGGAAAATGTTGCTGTGGTTGCGACAGATATGAAAAGAATCACTGCACTTCGCACATAAGCCAACTGGAGGTAATTAAGACCAACCCTGAGTTGGCATACGGAGAGACACCAGTGCTCAGAGTGGGGTATTTTGTGCCAGAAGGTTGTCATGAATTTACGCTTCTGGTTGCTAGAAAGCCATGGGCCGCTGGCTTCCTAGCAACCAACAGTCTCCATCCCAATTCACCTGCTGGTCAGGAGATTCTCCAGTCTGCTGCTCCAGTCTGCAGGTGACTCGAAACCGGGAGTCCAGGGTCCTGATCGTTAGTATGAGACCCGGCTCTCTTGGTGAGAGCCCGGTCTCTGTGTTGGGAGCATGCCGCAAGAGAGGTTTGCATATATGCGGCCCCACAGATAAAGACCCAGTTCCAATAGGCCGTATATATGCGTACGGTTGGTGGGAAGGGTTAAATTCATTGTCATTGAGAAGAATGCCCCTAGGTTGGTGGTCAGTAGGAAGAATGCTCCTTATATTGGTGGTCAGAACCAAAAGGTTAAAGTATAACTAAAGGCAAAACTTTTTTTTTTTTTCTTACTTTTGATCAGAGTGGAGATGGATTAGAACCCCTGTCAGTTTCTATTGCTGTTTGTGCCCTCAGTATGGAGATTCATCCTCTCTATTTATCCTATTTTACCATTATCATTAAAAGTGAAAGAAAAAGAAAATTCCAAATATTGGGTTGTCCCTCATGGAATTCCCTTAAAGTGTTACTAAACCCAGGACCCTGCATTCACTATATCTGGTCCCGGACCCTGCATTCACTATATCTGGTCTCCCCGGACCCTGCATTCACTATATCTGGTCTCCCCGGACCCTGCATTCACTATATCTGGTCTCCCAGGACCCTGCATTCACTATATCTGGTCTCCCCGGACCCTGCATTCCTATATCTGGTCTCCCCGGACCCCTGCATTCACTATATCTGGTCTCCCCGGACCCTGCATTCCCTAAACCTGGTCTCCCCGGACCCTGCATTCCCTAAACCTGGTCTCCCCGGACCCTGCATTCCCTAAACCTGGTCTCCCCGGACCCCGCATTCACTATATCTGGTCTCCCCGGACCCCGCATTCACTATATCTTGGTCTCCCCGGACCCCCCACATTCACTATATCTGGTCTCTCCGGACCCTGCATTCACTATATCTGGTCTCCCACAGTACACAGAACATGGAAATGCAATTATTTTAGTAAATATAAACTGCTAAATCCTTTTTCTTATCAGCAGTTAGAGCAGTCTTTATCAGTGTCCAGCAGAGCACTGGCTAAAGCTTGTAGAAGGAGTTTTTATTTTGCTCTAGGAGGATGTAGAAAACCTCTAGCAATGCACACCACACTGAGCATGTGCAGGGTGACTCCACATGATATGTCTTATCAGGAGATAAGAGGGGGGCACTGGAAGAAGGGGAGGATCAGAGAAGACAGGATCAAACAGCATTTTTACACAATGCAAAGGATTAACCCCTTAGGTTCCACAGTGAGTATAACAAGCATTTTTTACTGTATATACAGACTGATTGTACTGTTGTGGGGTTAGTAACACATTTGCAGGGATTTCCTCTCCCTTCCTGTTGGCTATGGGACATGAAGTAAAGGGAACTCTCCCAAATGGGACACAGATGGCGAAAGAAAATCTGACTTGCTCTATCTAAAATGAAGGAAAGGAATAGTGCCCCATCATTAGTGTTAGTGGGAGGAATAGAGTTCCAAGGGCCAGATAAAGGCAAGCAAAGGGCCACATCTGGCCCTCAGGCTGCAGTTTGGAGACCACTGCGCTAGGGATTGAAATCTAGAACCGCAGGACCATAAATCCCTGGAAGCACTGTATTTCTGTGCATGGCTTTCAGTCTGTCAGATGTTTGACAAATCACTTTATTTCCCCAGGAGGGCAGAACTCAATTCCTCTTCAATAACCGTCCATAGATCATGACTTCCAGATAAATCTCTTCGTAGGTTTGTGGAAAATCCTCTGGTTTGGAAATTCCTCTTAGAAGTGAAACTGAAACTAAAAGCTGAGAACAGTCCTTGTCTCGTACACTTCCCGCTGATGTGCTGCTTTCTGGGAAACTGCTTGGGCTTCCTGATCTAACCTGGGATTTCAAAGGAAATCACGGCTCTCACATGTCCCTTATTTATAGGAACAGTCCCACTGTTACAGCCGAATCCGTCAGACCCTCATTCCTCCTACAATGACCTCATCTGGATCAGCTGTGGGTGTAGGATTATAACTTTTGTTTTTTTTTTTTTTTTCTATGGATGGACTTTTGTCTTTTTTCAGCCAGACTAACTATGTAACTGTATTTAGCTCTGACGTGTGTATATACTGTTTCAATTCGCTAGCTATTTACAGTCAGGTGCATAAAGATTGGGACATCGACACAATTCTAACATTTTTGGCTCTATACACCACCACAATGGATTTGAAATGAAACGAACAAGATGTGCTTTAACTGCAGACTAATTAATTTGAGGGTATTTACATCCAAATCAGGTGAACGGTGTAGGAATTACAACAGCCTGCATATGTGCCTCCCACTTGTTAAGGGACCAAAAGTAATGGGACAGAATAATAATCATAAATCAAACTTTCACTTTTTAATACTTGGTTGCAAATCCTTTGCAGTCAATTACAGCCTGAAGTCTGGAACGCATAGACATCACCAGACGCTGGGTTTCATCCCTGGTGATGCTCTGCCAGGCCTCTACTGCAACTGTCTTCAGTTCCTGCTTGTTCTTGGGGCATTTTCCCTTCAGTTTTGTCTTCAGCAAGTAAAATGCTCAATCGGATTCAGGTCAGGTGATTGACTTGGCCATTGCATAACATTCCACTTCTTTCCCTTAACCTCCCTGGCGGTATTCCCGAGTGTAGCTCGGGGTAACATTTCAGTACCAAAAGCGGTAACCCCGAGCTACACTCGGGAATACCATGCGGCGCTGCTCCGGCATGTGTTCTTCACTTACCTTACCCTGCGCTCCCACGATGTGTCCCCTGCAGCGTCCCCGGCCATCTCCTCCGGCCGATGCCGGCATCCGGCTTCTGTGTCCTGTCCCTGTGACGTCGGGACGTACGGGCGCCGCCGCCGCCGCCGCGGGCGGGGAAATTTAAAAATTTTAAAAAATGTAATTTTTTTTTTTACATTTTACACAGTAAAACATTGCTGTTTCAACCTATTTCACATACATATTGTCCCGAGTGCTTTGTCCGGCGCCCTGCCTGCATTTTGTCTGTTCTTTCTGCCTGGAAACTGAGAAATGTCCATGGCGTCCAAAAAGCGTCCCTTTAGGTCAAAAGCGGTTTTAGATCAGCTAGAGAACAGCGATAGTAAATTAGAACCACTTGCAGAATTGAGGGATAATGATTCGTGGGGGAAATTCGTCATCAGACACTGAAAACGATTTTGCGACTGAGCTCAGCGATGTGCGAACTTGGCGCTCTATTTCACATTTCAGTGTTTTTGGTTTGATTATATTATTGAATTAAATTTTTTATTATTTTTCTATTATTTTTATGATTATTTATTAAATTATAATTTATGATTTTGTGTTTCAAATTTTATCATACCCGGGATGTTTACTAGACTCTTGTTCGGACAGATTTCAGTGAGTTTTTCCTAAAAATTACAGCCTGCAATAAAAAAAATACATATTTCCATGCAAAATAATGGTACCGCTTTCAGCACCAAAAATCTGAAATAATCATACCGCCATGGAGGTTAAAAAACTCTTTGGTTGCTTTTGCAGTATGCTTTGGGTCATTGTCCATCTGCACTGTGAAGCGTCCAATGAGTTCTGAAGCATTTGGCTGAATATGAGCAGATAATATTGCCTGAAACACTTCAGAATTCATCCTGCTGCTTTTGTCAGCAGTCACATCATCAATAAATACAAGAGCAACCAGTTCCATTGGCAGCCATACATGCCCACGCCATGACACTACCACCACCATGCTTTACTGATGAGGTGGTATGCTTAGGATCATGAGCAGTTCCTTTCCTTCCCCATACTCTTCTCTTCCCATCACTCTGGTACAAGTTGATGTTGGTCTCATCTCTCCATAGGATGTTGTTCCAGAACTGTGAAGGCTTTTTTAGATGTCGTTTGGCAAACTCTAATCTGGCCTTCCTGTTTTTGAGGCTCACCAATGGTTTACATCTTGTGGTGAACCCTCTGTATTCACTCTGGTGAAGTCTTCTCTTGATTGGTGACTTTGACACACATACACCTAGCTCCTGGAGAGTGTTCTTGATCTGGCCAACTGTTGTGAAGGGTGTTTTCTTCACCAGGGAAAGAATTCTTCGGTCATCCACCACAGTTATTTTACTTGGTCTTCCGGGTCTTTTGGTGTTGCTGAGCTCACCGGTGCGTTCCTTCTTTTTAAGAATGTTCCAAACAGTTGTTTTGGCCACGCCTAATGTTTTTGCTATCTCTCTGATGGGTTTGTTTTGTTTTTTCAGCCTAATGATGGCTTGCTTCACTGATAGTGACAGCTCTTTGGATCTCATCTTGAGAGTTGACAGCAACAGATTCCAAATGCAAATAGCACACTTGAAATGAACTCTGGACCTTTTATCTGCTCATTGTAATTGGGATAATGAGAGAATAACACACCTGGCCATGGAACAGCTGAGAAGCCAATTGTCCCATTACTTTTGGTCCCTTAACAAGTGGGAGGCACATATGCAAACTTTTGTAATTCCTACACCGTTCACCTGATTTGGATGTAAATACCCTCAAATTAAAGCTGACAGTCTGCAGTTAAAGTACATCTTGTTTGTTTCATTTCAAATCCATTGTGGTGGTATATAGAGCCAAAAATGTTAGAATTGTGTCGATGTCCCAATAGTTATGGACCTGACTGTATATCTCACTAAACATTTCCTGCTTCCTTCATATCGTTGCGTTGGTTGTTTTAAAATTGAATATATAAAGGAAAAGTAATAGTGGAAAAAAGCTTCAGAGGTTTGAATGATCATTATCGTGTTTAAAGGTAAGTAGGAAGCCAAAATGTTTTTTTTTTTTTTCTGTCTGTGTCAAAATGAAAGCAAGAAACATTTTTGAAAAGCAAAGGAGAAATTTCCTCTTTAGCTGTCAGCTGGTCTGGAGTTCCCACTAGAATGTTTCTGCTAATGTGAGAACTCTTATGTTGGTTTTTTTCCCATACATATGTACTTTCCGGGAGACACTGCTCACCAGGAAAAGGAAAGAGAATAATTCTCATCAGCAAAAACCTAAAATGGGTTTTCTATTTCCTCATTCTATCCAAAGCTACAAAAAAAATGTCAGGTCTATTTATAAAAAATTCACAGTTCCATCTTGAAGGTATTGTTTAACGCTGATATCTAGGCGGTCCCTGGAAAATCATTGATTAATCTAAACCTGGACTTCTCCAGAGCCTCTCCCCATCCTCTGGAACTCCCTACCACAGTATGTCCGGTCAGCCCCCACCCTGTCTGCCTTTAGGCAATCTTTGAAAACTCATTTATTCAGGGAAGCCTACCCCACCTCCACCTAAGAGCTGTACTTGAATCACCTCCACCAGATCATCCCCCGCAGATATCACCTTTTTGTATCACCTCCTCCTCCCTTTAGATTGTAAGCTCCACGAGCCGGGCCCTCCTATTCCTTCTGTACTGAAATGTATTGCAATTGTACTGTCTCCCTTATATTGTAAAGTGCTGCTGTTGGAGCTTTATAAATCCTGTATAATAATAATAATAACCCGTACGGCATACTAAAGCTGATCAAAGATGGATCGAATCTCGGCCACTTCAGCAGGGACCGGCCGAGATTCAAATTGTGTATGGGTAGGCTGATTGTACCCAAATCGATCCATTGATCGAATTGGGTACAACCAGCCTGTTGGATTTTTAGCATGCGATTACTACCGGCGGCCAGGGGCGGACTGACCATTTGAAACTCGGGCACTGCCCGGGGTCAGTAGGGGGCCCCATGAGATGCCCCTGGTACCTTTTTTTTCATAGGCTTTTTTTTTGAGTTTGGGCAAGGACACAGGGGCCCCATGATCCTCTACTGCCCGGGGGCCCCATGAGTTGTCAGTCCGCCCCTGCCGGCGGCTACAGATA